CTGTTCATCCACAACTGACGCAAATCTCAAAGATCTCGGGAGCCAAGTGTGCCTCAGTAAAACCACCCATCGATCTGCCGGATCGCCTTTCAAGCTCCCGATCACTAAATACCCGAATCCGAACATGGATGCATCAGACCAACCGCAAGCTGCCTATCAAACGAGAGTGTGCACTGACGACTACTGTGATTGTCCCAGCACTACCTGACTCATGTTTGCGGGTACCGTCCTCGAGACACGTGTCTTTCACCAGTGTGCAAGACTGCACTGTTTCCTCGTTGACAAAATCTAGTCACCACCATGAACTACCCCGTATTTCCACCACTTGCATGGTCACTGGACACTGTCCAGAAGCATTTTGTCCTTGACTACTCATGAGTATTAAGGTTTGATGATTGCAGTCAGTCAAATTCAGTGTTTCTCATGTGCATATTGTTTTGTTTTTCGAATATCAGTTGCAACCACCAGTCAAAGATACTATCCTCTAGAAAGTTTTGACAATTTCTTTTTATAATTAACGAATTCTTCGAGCACCTTTTCGCTGACTTTCAACTGAAAAATACTGATTTTTTTGTCAAAGTAGCAGTCACCCCGTGACCGTGTCAATTGGAAACATTCTGTGGGTATAATGAAAGCCTCTCAATCGCGGTTACTTCATCTAGAACTGCAGATAACTCAGCTTTTTCAAACCCGCACCCAAGGAGATGTAAAAATAGTATAATTCTATAAACTTTTACGATTTTCTTTTATCGCGTAATTCTGGATGCGTAGTTGATCACTAACAAGGCGCATTGTTGTAAATCAGAAAATCAGAACCACTGATGAACTTTAACAATTTGATCAACATATAAATGGTATGACTTGATAACGTTTTGCTAATCTGGTAAGAAAAATTCTGTAAACCAGTTAGAATTTTTCTGGCCCTCTAATCCGCCTCGATTTCATTAAGTATAGTTTGCATTTGCAGATTGGACAATCCAGGGAATTTGTGAATAGGAAGTATTGACTAAATAAGAAATTATTTGGAGCTCTAATCTGATTTCTGGACAATCATTGCCTATGATTCACGGGTCAAATCGTTTCGTCCAAAATGTCTTACCTGTGGATTTGGTGAACTTTCGAAAACTGAAGAAGACCGAGGCGAGTGAAATGGAAACAATTCCGTTTTTCCATGCCAGTTGCTTGCAAATGAAACGAACGTTTCCGCACTCGATGATTATGTTTGGGTGGAGAAATTGCTCGAATGAAACGAACAGCTTCGACATTTGCTATTTGTTTGTTTTCTAGTCCTATTCGTTTTTTAATCCGACCTCTGATTTGATTGTTGCTGTTTGGTGAAGATCCTCTCATGTCGTTCGTTGTACCATCCATCGGCTGATTAATATGATATAAATGAATGGGATGTAAAACTTCTCAGGTGAACACGGAATTTATTCAAGGTGACTTGGACGATGGCGGCCGAGAGGTAGGGTCATGAAATTATCGTTTCGGAGGACGTATTTTCGAATCCTACCATCACCGACCACCAACTGATTCCAACTCTCTACGTATTACACTTTTAAACCCTCTGATTGGTCGCTCTTTGCCCTCCCCACCCCCCATTCGGGAAAATTGTATGACTATGTAATTAATAAAAAGAAGTAAAGTTTAAAGAAGTTACGGGCTTGTCAGTATCTGACATTCAATTGGAATCCGGCTTTGTTAATCGTCATTTTCTGCACTACACCTTAATTTTTTCAGTATATTTCAGTACATTCAACTCCACAGACTTAGGATACAATTCGGGTGTTCGATATATAAATTACTGTACTGAAACGGGGGAACACTTTCCTTAATTTGTGTTATAACCTTTGATTAACCATTTTGTGAATTGACATTTTTACAATGCATTCGTTCTGGGACAAGCAATCAGAACAAAGATAGCCGAACTCAGGCGGATTGATCAGAACCGATAGCCAATTAAGACTGTTGACAAAAATCCACTCAACCAGTCATTTTGTATATGCATTCCCATGTTATCCTTCATAACTTTAAACAAGCATGCGATAAAAAATCCCTGCATACTCCCAACTGTGTTCTATTTCACTATCTGTAGAACTGCTAGCTGGATGAGAAGCGCTATTTGAGGATGATCGTTTGGGAATCCAGTATCGAGACAATTCCTTGTGGTTATAGCAAAGTGGATTACTGTGGGAACCAGCACATCGAAGACTAGATGACTTCACGCGATGTTTTGGGCTTCAATTGGGGGGGGGGGTACGCAAATGGATTCCAATCCATTCAACTGTGATTAGGAGGCAATTTTTTAAGCGGCTTATATCGGTGACCTTGAATTCGAGTGGATAAGATGAAATGCATCATTCAAACTCCCTATCTGATCAGATTCCACAGAGTTTGAAACAGTGAAACACTTGTAATGGATTTAGCTCCGTCGGTATGCATTCAGGCCGGACGATGTTTGTGAAGTCTCACAGTTAGACATCTGCTTGTGGGATCGATGTACGGTGGTGTACCGCAGGAACGAGCACATGCACTCAGAGAATGAAATTGCGGAAGCACGAGCTGACTGAACTTAAATATGACACGTAATTTTACCGCTCTTGTAACCTTCTCTCCACCATAGTCCTCCATTTTTCGATGACTATGTCTATCGCTGAAAGGGAGAAATTGCGGTCGATAGTAAAATGCGAATTCGAGACATCGTGTTAGATATGCTTACTTGATATTCCACTTGACCGTGATCAATTTCGATTTATCGTCACAAAATTATGAAAAGCTCTGTGACCAACTGAAAGAAGTAAATATTTTACAACTGCCAAAGATCGTTAGGTTTTTACTGGCATTAAAGTTTGAAAAATAAGACAAATAACTTTGATTAGATGTGCTTGAGATTCGCTCACTGTGTAGAAATACATTCATGCGTTTGTTCTCGATCGATTTTTATCCCCTCTTTCGTCTGTTCCCGAATAAATTGATAACCAAGTTGGGCAGACTTCGATTTCTTTGCCCGTGACGTTCTTGCCCGCGCGTTTTGAAACCAAATCTGCAAATAATCGATCAGTGGAGAGAGAGAGGCGAACGTAATTTAGTGCAATTTTACAACCTGAAATTACGTTGCGCAATAATACCGATTCAATGATGCAGGCTGTCATCCCCTGAGGTAGCCTGCTCGTCTTAAATCAGGCTAATAGACGGAAGAGACGGATTGGGGCTCAAATTCTTAAAGACCATTATGATCATTCCCCGTTGATCAACTTGAAAGTCGAATAGACTATTTTTAAGCTTTTCGGTTCTAGAAACCCGTTATTGACTTGGATGGAGGGTTCACTTGGTTGTAATTGGAACAAGAAACTGTGACTAACACTTGGTTGTTTGGGGTTATCGTATAGTGGTGAGCCGTTTAGTCGAATCCAAGACAGTGCAGCAAATCTGTCCATTTGCAAGTAGACAGCATGTCAGCGCACGATGATGTGTGCACAGATAGGGAACGAACCGAATTATATATACAAGGAGAAAAGTTTGAACTGACAAGCCAGGTTAGGAGTATCTATTTATTTCAGAATATTTGAATACTTTGGACAAACTGTTTTATGGTAGACTGAAGTCTTATGTTGAAATGGTGAAAAGGTCAGTATTCTCGGTTGGATTCGAACCCACGCATGGTCGCCGCCTACGCTTTTTAATCAGCGCACGCTGTATCAGCATCACTGTTATCTGGTGGATACCATATGCTTCTGTAAGTTGGATAGATGATTCGAATTTGAAAATATTAGTACTGCTGGTGCTGCCTCGTAGCTCGACTGATAGGGGCGTATGCAGCGTCCATATGTGGGTTCGGATCCCACCTAGGCTTTAGAACTTTTCATAATTTCAACCTATTTAAACAGACTTGGCAAAGTAGAATCCCTATTCATCTACTTAGCTGTGGAGGAAATAGAGGAACTTTGAGGCAGAATGCAGGCACATTGCCCAATTGACCAGACAGTTTCACGGCGCGGAAAAGTTCATCGTTTGCAGTTCATTTCGAGCCCGTTTATATTCCAGTTTCATCAAGTATAATCCCGTCTGTTTTCTCATTGCGTTGGAATAGATAAATATTGTTCTATTAGTCAAAGGGCTTGTGTCAGTCCTGTTCAATTTCCTGGCTGTTTTGAGACCTTACCCGAGACCAATTATTATTTACTTCTGGGCCCATGAAGAGTTTAGTTGTAAAGTTTTTGATGAAGCATCTTAGGCAAACTTAACTTACTAACAACAAACAAGATAGAAGTAGTTTAAATTAACTGTTTCATTGAGTTTTCATGCAAAGTGGCATCACTGACGAAGTGATGTTTATGCGAGGATTTGTGAGATTGAAAAGGTTAGATTCGGTATCGGTCAATGCTGAGGGGCAACTTCCCATTGATTCTATAAAAGAATGTCAGATCGTGCTATATCACTGCACGCCATACATCTCCTTATCCCTCTCTCCCTATAAAAAATCGGGCCACTGTAAGAACCATCCCCTATCGTCTTGGCCTCTAGCAGTTTTTCATATAAACTGCTTCATGTCTCTCAGATTTACCACGGTGGTGGAAGAGGTATAACTCACCTGAATTTGCTTTCGGTCCAGCTGAATAAGTTCGGCTAAATCGTTCAGCTGATTGGAAGGTGGGTGAGGATCTCGAATAAAATAGGCGCGTAGCATGCTTAACTGTAACGGATGAAACGACGTCCGCGGTCTTCGGAGTGGAATTTTGTGCACTTCAGTTGTTGTCAGCACCATGTTCCTATCGCTCATCGGACTCCCAGCCTCACTGAAACTGGTTGTAATTTTCTGTAGATCACCAGTGGAGTGTTCGGAATGCGCTTCTTTTGATGATCCAACATGTACATGATGTGTGCTAACTGTGTAGGCTTTCGCGAGACAATCCTCCGTGGAAGACGAAGTTGGTTTGGTCTTTACTTCTGGATAATTAGCTGCCTCTGACTCGTTTTGTCTTCCTTCGGATCTTGTGTGTTCTGATGCGCTGTTGCCTGGAAGCAATTTGTTGAACAATCCATAAATAACAATGCGTTTATCGTAAGGCTTGTAACTAAGCAAACTTTACAAAACACCTACTTAGCCCACTGAAATTATTGCCACCATCTAAATCAGTGTGATTTCGATCAGAGTATTGTGTTATCGACATAATTTTTTCAATAGAGAATTGCACTTAAATTTCCTTTTGCCTAGTACTACGGTATAAAATATTCATCTTTAAGTTCAGCTACTGATAAATCAAATAGTAGTTGAACGCAAAAAATAGAGTGTTTCATCACAGGATGCAACATCAAAGCAAATATATACCCATCGAAGCACATGCGCATCAACTTACCATGACTCTCTGTTTCATTCGTGCCTGCCGTACCAGTTGATGTGGATAGGCCAGAATCGACAGATCCGCCAGATAAAGTACGTGGTCGTTTGGATGTATGCGGTCCAGATAAACTTCCAGTCCCATCCGGTTGTTGTAATCGTTCGTCCTGTCTGTCAATCGGGACAGCTGGTTTGGGTGCGTGATCGGTTGCATGCTCGAAGCATATCATCGCCAAACCACCGTAAATATCTGGCTGAATAAGCATGCAACGGTCACCTTGAAATAGGCGACGGTTACACACCAGACAGGTTACACATTCCAAATGGAACGAAGTTGAACCGAACTTCCTCACCGCAGTGTCCGGTTTCAGGGGACGTGCACATTTAGCACAATGAGTCAGTCTGTAAAATAAAATAGTCATCATTATTATTATGTATATTAAACACCATTTAACTTCATACCTTCTTTCTCTGTGGATATTAATTGCTGCAAACAATACCCAGAATCTAGTTGGTGTCTGTAAGCTATCATGAGCTAATCCGGCAATGTTGTCGTTATTCAATGCCACCATGCGTCGAAGCAGTAAACTATCGGCCACTTAGCTCACACTGAAGGGTTTTGTCTTTTACTTTGAAGATTCGAGTCCCGTTTGAAACAGAAAAAGTCATGCGCGAAGAACAGCTATCCAATGCACCATGTAGGTCATTACAAAATAGTATTATGTGATAAATGATCTCACCAGAAAACTAGCTATCTAGGGGAGTAGCAATAAAATAGAAAAACGTAATTACAAATAGTCCCTTCTCTACTATGTAAGCGCAGTTTATCCTCGAAGAAAATGGGCAACGGCCAACACCTTGGACATATGGCCCCAGGATGATGCACGGGAAGTTTCATGTCCCTACCTGCGGGATACGCGGTTTGATTCCTGATGGGAACACGAAAACGGTACGCAGCATTAAAGCGTCTATTTCAAGCGAACGATCAGGACACTGCTTTGTCCGTATAAACAATCAATCAAAATTATTGATTATCTGGTTTCCCCATTAGTGTTCATTGTAGAAAGCAAAATTTCGCATCAGTTTATATCCTTCGTTATTGCTCAGAAATTATTTAAGGTTCAATTTTTATTACGGGAAATACTTAAAATCGGTTGCTTTTCTTGTCCCATAGGGTGTTTTACACAACTGGATCAATTTTCCAGTCAAAGAGAGATAATGAGTGTTACACACTTTTATTGATTCGTGTTATGACTCAGTTCTCTAGAATAGTCCTTTGAATAAAAAAATAGGTCCAGTTTAGTTCAATTTATCTTAAAATAGGTAGCCCAGCACATGCAAGCTTTTGCATCAGTTGCCCGATAGAGCACTGTGAAGCCTGAAGATAGGTGATCAGATCTGTAAAATTTGCTCATTATTCACAACAATAAGCTATATTCTGTGATACGCGCGATCAAAGCTAGATTAGCGTTTGCTATTCTGCGGTATCTCTGGCATCAGCGAGATATATCCCTGTCATTGAAAGGAAGTGTGCATTGTGCAACGGTACGCACGATGTTACTCTGTAGCTTTAAAACCTGCCCTCCCCCTCAAGCAGATCATGTCCAACGACTATCCGTGTTCGACAACCGCTGTCTGTGCAACATCGCCCGCGCATGGTGGGAGTATCGTGTGGATAACGATGAGGTCAGACGACGTCTGTTAGGATCAAATAGTCTTCCATTCAGCTAAATAATTTCACTGCATTGTCTTAGGTGGCTAGGCACGTCCTACGAATGCCTGAGCAACGTCTGCCACTCCATGCCCTATTCGCAGACATCGGTCCAGACTGGAAGAAATAGCAAGATGGGCAAGCTATTATGTGGTGTAGAGAGTTAAAGAATTTGTGCTCGGATCTGGCTTCCGTCGGGCTTCCCGGCTCCCAGGTAGGGGCCTCAAAGATTCAGATTGTTTCTGGCTACAAACACTACGGGATATGATGTTGAACCGAAGTCAGTGGCGTGAATACATCCAATCCTGTTTGCAATCCCCAAAATAAAAAACACTAAACATGGCCTGCATTAAACAAACAGAAATTTTTTTATTCTCAAATTTGACTGCTTTTTGTTTTACAACTTTCTGTTTGTATGTTGTGCGTAAAATCTATAGTTATTGTGGCACCGTATCTGTAATGATTGATTATATATATATATATATATATATTGATTGAATGATTGATTGGTTTGATTGACAATCCTTCGAACTTCATCTTCACGCACAATCCTCAGTTCATCGATTCAACCACACACTTAGCAGAACTGGACTCGAGTTTCATTCTTATTAGAGCACATCAGTAGAGCATGTTCACTGTCCCGTCCGGGATTTGATCTTCGTACCCATCGGGCATGGAAGGCATGTGCGTTACCACTGTGCTAACCAGCTCATACCAAGGCTGAACTCGAACAGAAATGTCACACACTGATGATGGTAACAACGATGATAACGACGACAATAATACTAATGGTTATAAAAATAAAACTATCTCACACTCGCTACTCACAAGTAACTGTGAGTTAAATGCGAAGATCAATCAAGCCTGGTAGGTGTGGCAAGTCAGCCCGTAACCTGCATGGAAGTCCTGACGTGATTGGAGGCTTTCGACTGGAGTTACCAGATTGTCATTTATTTCCTTTCGTTGCTGTCGGGCAACATGAACTGACTGATCATCACCGAAGATGACAACTGAACAAACATGATTTGGCAATTTAGTTCAGTGTATGATTGAATCGATGAACTGAGGATTGTGCGTGAAGATGAAGTTCGAAGGATTGTCAGTCAAACCAATCAATCATTCAATCAATATATATATATATAATCAATCATTACAGATACGGTGCCACAATAACTATAGATTTTACGCACAACATACAAACAGAAAGTTGTAAAACAAAAAGCAGTCAAATTTGAGGATAAAAAAATTTCTGTTTGTTTAGTGCAGGCCATGTTTAGTGTTTTTTATTTTGGGGATTGCAAACAGGAGAGGATGCATGAACGTAAATGTGGATTGTTCCGAGCTAGTCTTAACTAATCGGATGTAGTCGAATGATTCCCAGGTCTGTTTAATGACTAATCTCTCCGCTCCCTGTGAAACGTACCCCACCAGGAAAGACGTTTTCATTTCGCCTGTTCACAGAGCTTGGCAATTTGTTTGCAAGCGTTTTATCGCCAGCCGATATGTGATCGTCAATGTTTGTTAACTAGCAGTGTACTGCTTGTACCCGTTCGTTTATATGTGTTCTTCACCGACTAATTTTTGTCCCTTACTTTCACTGTGCTCGCCCAAGTTCGCCGCTGAACTGGTGCGAGGGGTTGAGGGTGAGAGTTGTTCATCCGTCTTGATTACGGTTTCGGTCCGTTCTCATGTCACGACATGACCTTTGGTTGCTTCATTTGATCCGTGAGTTGCACTGGCGTGTACACGTGATCCAGTTCGATGTGTTTGTCTATTTGCAAACAGATTGCCAAACTCGGTGAACAGATGAAATGAAATTCGTTTCCCCTGAGCTACGAGAACCGATTTTCAATGATTTGTCAAGACAACAATTGTTAGAATTGTGCCGACCAATTTTCTGAAATGATAGTTGATTGGTAATTCAATAATTTTGGCTCATTTTTCACCAAAAGTTGCATTTGAAACAGTTTCCATTGGGCTCACCGTTTAGACGGGGAATCTCTGTCTTCCCGTAGATCATAATCGTAAACTAATGAGCACGTGCTTTCAACCGGATGAAAAGTTATGCATTCTTCCGTTTGGCTAATGTTGTTTTAACACCAGATATCCTAGCATGCCCGATCTACTATATTCTATTGGCACTCGATGGAAATAAGAAAGCTGTCAGAATGTTTCTTGGATTATAGCGACGCCTTCATTTGTGTTGATGGGTCTCAGTTGTTAAATATTTTGTCTTCCAGTAAGATATCACATACGATAACTGTGGTGCTCAAAGACTATTCCACAAATCGATCATAATACACCTTGGTTACCTTGGTCGTTTTTTTTTCTCCCTTGATCTCTACACTAGATGTACGACAGGATGCCATTCTGTCCGTGTTTTTCTTTTCCACTTATATTTCATCCATAAGTTCTTTTCGAAATTTCCTGCTGATTAAATACACAGACCATACTGTCGCCGTAATCGTCCAACCTGATTCTAGCATCACCTCTATCCCTCAACTTAGACATTTTTGAGTGGTTCACTGAACATAAATTAACTCTTAATCCCTCTACATTGTTTAGACATGCTGTTCTCACTTTTCAGAGGGAACCATTGTGAAATTCTTTTGGCATCCTATCCCTCAATAAAAAAGTACGTGATGATATCATTATTCGACCCGTAAATGTTACGTATTGCGATGTGTTAATCAGCCGAAATTTATGCCGGTCTGACCAAGTTATTTCTGTATTAGAAAAGGTAACAAAATTATCACTTGATGTCCCACGCCTAAAATTTTTATCCGACCGTCGCTTCTTGATCAGCCGTTTTCTTTTTTGTTGCATTTTGCCCCTTTGACTGTACGGGTGCCCTGTAATCTTCTCAGGGATGCTCTAGGAGAACTTGAATTTGCTTTCCAGATCCTTGGGAAATTTATCCAGACGTAGCTGGATTTCCCGTAAAATTCTCTGTCACTTCATCGTTTCACAACAGACAAAGTCATACCTTTCGTTACTCACAAAAATCTTGAACAACTCTTCGTATCTGTTACATGCAGATCTTGCAAAGTGTGTATCCTCTTCTCCCACCCGATCCCGCAATAACTGTATATTTGCTCGCACAACCGGTTGCTGGTCTTCTATGGTGTCTTATCTTGAACAATCGCATCGCTTTTCAATTGAACTCACTCATCTCACGGTGTAATTTTGCTTGTTTTGCTTGGTTCTACTTGATTATGTGGTTGCTGAATATTTGCCTTTCGGGGGATGTATAAAGCATATACTTGAATTGACTTACTGTATGACTTACCTTTGACGACAATCAGTACACGCTACCGTAAATCCGGAAATCCAGCATCGTCGTGGCACACTGTCCGTGCATGACGTGGAACTGAATTGTGTGGCACAAAACCAGCATCGAAGACAATCGGAATGGCAGAATTCAATTCGTGATTTTCCCAAAGCTCTGACCAAATCAGGTGGTTGAATCGCGCATAGTTCTTCATGGTCACTAAAACCAAAGGGTTCCAGGCAGAGGACACAATGTGCCGCAGGGGGAACGGGGTTCTGTGTAGACAAGAATAATGTGCAAAATTAATTGCAACTGCACATCAATATGCGTTGTTTGGACATTTTTTATATCTAGTAAGTTGTTATGTGGTCACTGATGTACGAGATGGCGAGGTTTTTCAAAAAGCTGTATGCATGGCTCACTCTGAAAAACACCGTTTCGGGATATATTCTCATAGAGCCTGATACCCTGACGGTCCATTGTGTATCGATTATAGAACCACCTAGGAACAAGCTATTTTTCGTCTCACTCAATTTGAAAATTTTACTCGTATTTTGGCTCGTTTTGTTACACATGAAAAAACATCATTAAGTCGGTCAGCCACATTACACAATGCGTGTCCGGGACGATTTCACAGTATCTCAGTTGATGCTCACTGCAACTAGGCAAAATGTGTATAGGGGGCTGATGCATGTATGCACGAAATATTCCGACGGAAATGTAAGAAGATAGCGGGCAGTCATCGGGGTAGAATCCGGGTGATGAACACTCTTGCTATTCGCATAGAATCGGTTTCTCTCGGTTGATGACGTAATCAGTTCCTGTTCTATAACATCCACAGTGCTGTGTGGATCTTTTAAAGTGCGTTTTCTCTCCAATACATGCACCTCCGTTCGTCGGTCCCCATTGACAGTCGTTCATGGCAGACACTGGCCAATACCGTTCCAGGCCATTTTATCCGTGAGC